ATTAAAGAGAAGTTCAAATTTGTCATAGTTCACCAAAAAATTAATTCCAATTTGCTTAGTTTAAAAAAAAAAAGGCTAATTTAGGCCACGCAGCATTTATAGCAGTACAGAACACTGTCCTAAATTCAAATTATAAAAAAAAAAAAAAAGCAAAACTCCAGCAGTGCTGGGAATGACTAGATTTCAGTTGAGCAGAGCAAGTGCCAGCTATCTTCAATGGTTGTGTCCTTCCCCCCACCCTCAAGGTGCCAATCCTTTCTTTTATCAGTAAGTCCTTCCTTTTGCCCACCTTTGGTATCTTTCCCATTTCCTATCATCTAGCCCACCAAGTACACAAAGAATAACTGCTTATTTTACTTCTTTAAAACACACAATTTTATCAGACTACAATTAGGTGAGGTTTTGCAGATACAAAAAGTGTACGTATAGTTTAAGCAATCGTTTTACTGACAAAAACAGACAAAGAGGCAGTTCTAGGCTTGAAGTAGCTGGTTCGGATATATCAAGGCACCAGGACATCTGGGAAACCCAAATGGAGTTTCCACTTCCCACCCCCTGCCCACCCCCTGCCTCTAATCCCCAGTTACCACAGCAGTGTACTATTAAAAATAGTACTACCCACCTCCTATTCCCTCTCCAGATACACCAGTCTCTCCTACCCACATCTTGTGAGGTTGTATCCACTCTCTCTTAACTCCTGCCCCTGGACCACCTCGCTCCCACATTTCAACCTAATGGCACCCACCAATCCACCCTCATTCAAATGTATGACTCTTTTCCTTGATTGTTCAGAGGCGCTGAAGGAAAATATAAACAAGATCCACTTACCAATCCACTTATCTGTTTTGGACCAGGAAAGATCATCCTTGGTGCTGTCATAGTAGCCAATCTTCTTATAGCTGCCACCTGGACAAATGACAACAGGAGCAACCACGGGTGGCTGAAGAGATGATCCCAGGCATTTTCAGCTGCCCACCTCCCTAAAGCTGCCTTCCATGGTTGCATCTGATTTTACACCTTCATCTGAGCCCCTAAAGGATGCCTGGAAAAAACTAGGGGTCACTTGAATCAGTGACTTGTCTTAAAAGCAATATAAGGTGGTTCCCAAGGCAACTCAAATAAATAAGAATATCTTGAATGTTTAAACCTCTTCCGTGAGGAAGGCTCCACATGTCTGCCACCTATTTCACTGCCTCACACCTCTCTTGGTGAGATGTCTCTCACTTTGATTCTGGCTTCTAAAGCTTTTCAAACATATTTCTTCATATCCTCCCTCTCATGATGGACAGAATCACAGGATCTATTTTCCCAGTGGCTTTCATTTTAATTTTAGAAATTCCTTTTCCGTTGGTTGGGTTCTGGTTCCTTGGATACATTACATCTGCCTCTTAAAGAGCCACTAAGTGAAATTCAATCACTCCAAAGATTTTTGTTCTAGAACTGTCCCAGTTACCATAACTTTTCCTTCAAAAGCCAATTCACATGCCTTTCACCATGGCTGAAGTCCATTCCCTCTTGTCCTGAATACAAAAATGAGCTAATAGGAAGTGGGAGGTGGGGAGAAGGGAAGAAAGAAACTTTTCACAGGAGGCCAAGAAATGGGTCTCTTGGCCATGACATAAGAGGCTGAGAAGAGGGTGGAGTTAAAAAATAATTCATAGAAATGTTGCAAATACGCAAGTGTGCTAAGTTATAAGATTTAAGAAAACATAATCCAGAAAAGCTAAACTATACATACTACAGATAAATTAGGAATGATAGTTTACATTGCAAGGAAATTCAATGAATTCCCTTTAAAAAATAGAAGATTTCTTAGATTCAGCTTTCCTTGAGTCTCTGAGTATGCACTGACAAGTCATTAACCCCTCAACCCAAGCCAATGAAGGAAAATTTCTGAAATTAAAATGGAAGCCAATGGGAAAGAGAAGGGCTATTTTTAAATTGCATGCTCCTTTTCAAGAACACAACCACTGCAAATCAGACAGACCCACCCATATTTAAGCTTTTTATTATTTAAAGGCTTGATGAACACAGTTAAAAGAGAAAGGCAGGAGGAGAGAAGCACCAAGGCAATCTTTGATGTCTCCAGTGTTCTCTTCCCGGGTGCCCTCCTGCCCCTGTGCTCACCCTGTAGCTGCTCGATGAGCGTCCATGCCATTCGAGAGCCGCTGGCATCAAACACCACATGGCCCTGGGGAGAGAAACATGGAGAGGAAGATAAAGGGGACAAAAGCAGGAGCAAAAAGAGAACATCAGGAACTCATCCTTCTGTTTTTGATGTATTTGAGCTTCTGAATGAATGCTATTTATGGTATTTGCCTGTATATAGGACATACCCCAGATGCCCATACCCTAGATTTTAGCAACATTATTCTTTTGAGAAGAAGCTTCACCCATGAGATTTGAATGGGAAAAATCCCCAGACAGAGCACCTGGAGACATGACTTCTGCCTGTGTGGCCTGAGCCAGTCACCAAATCCCTCTGGTCACTAATTTTCTCACTTTAAAAGGAATAAGGAGATGATCTTTCAGACTGTTTCCTCTTTTAAAATCCTACAGTTCTTATCTGATTCATAAATACCTAGACTGATTTGAAAAGAAATGAAAAAAGAGGTTAAAAAAAATGGACTACGCCATGTTGTTCCTTCCAGTCTTTTGTGGGCTCTTCTGGTCTGGGGATCCCTGCTGCCCTGGTCTGAGGCCGATTATTGCAGAGAAATGACTGAGAAAGATGAAGAAGGCATGATTCTAGGAGAGGGACCTCTGAGGGGGTCTCTCAATGGGAGGACAGGGTAGTGTGAAAGAATTTGCCATAACTCACGGAGACACCCTCAAAGGATGAGGAGTTCATTGCCCGGTAGATTTGGTCAGTGATGGTCTGGTTGTTGTAGTTGAAGTCCTCCAGGCGCACACCGGAACGGCCACCCCCTCCAGATGTCTTGTTTAGGGCTAATGCCAAGGCCCAGATGGCATCGTAGGCCAGTGGTGCCTCCTGAAAGCCTCCTGTCTCCTCGGGGTGTCTTTTTAGTCGTTTGGTAAGTTTCTCCACAAATTCCTGGGATGTCTGAGGAGGGGAAAAACATGAGAAAAGGACTGGAATGTGTGTGGATGCAGGGGGAAGGTGGACCCAATTCTGGCTCAAACACTTCAACCGTGGATGGATGGTTTGTATTCATGTTGCCAGATTGAGCATATGTACATTCAAAATCTTTAACTATACCCATGTGTCTGTCTTAGATCGGAAGCTACTAGACTAGAGCAGAGATTAGCTGGGTCCAGCGGTCTTAGCGCATACAGCTGCTAGCTCAGAACTACAAACAGAAGTCTGAATAAACACCCTGGAGAATGAATGGCAAATGGCAGAAAGTAGAGGCAGAGCAACGAGACACATATATTCCAATGAAGAGACGCAACGCTGATGTTTTCTCATCCTTCAGATTTTCCCAATAGAGTTGGCCTGGAATCTAATGGCTCCACCAAATCTAGAAGATCCTAGAAAAGGTGATTCCACAGGCTTTCCCACTCTGCCTGTCAACCAGGAAGATTTTCCTTTAGTGCTAACTTCTTGCCATCTTTTTTTTCCCTATAATTTATTTTATTTTAAAATGATAAATTATTTTATTTTGTTTTTCTTCTTTCAATTTTAAAAAAAAAATTTATTTATATATATATTTATGGGGTACAGAATTGACTATCAGTATTTGCGTACAGTATGTGATGATCAAATCAATATTATTAGCATGTTCATCATTACAAATCATAATTTCTTTTTGTGTCTCTTACCCAATTACTTCCTATCAGCCTCCTCCTCCTCCTCTCCCACCTCTAATAATTATAGGTCTGTTCTCTCCTGAAAGTTCAACGTTTTATTATGGTCTTTCTTTTTTGTTTGTTGTTTAGCTCCCACTTATGAGTAAGGACATGTGGTATTTCTCTTTGTGTGCCTGGATTACTTCACTTAACATAATTTTCTCCAAGCTCACTATGTGTCAGGTACTTTTCTAAAGTACATATATCAACTTATTTAATCCTCAGACAATCCAGTGATGCAGTTAATATTATTTTCCCCATTTACAGATTTAAAAACTGAGGCACAGAAAAGTTATGTAACTTGCTTAAAGTTATACTACCAGCGAGTGACTGAGCTGGGATTCAAACCCAGGCAGTCTGGCCCTAAAGTCCATACCCTTACCAACTACCCTATACTGCATCTGTACACTGAAATGCCTCTCTCCAAGAGCACCTGCTCACAGACAGCAGCCAGGCTGAGACTTTCTGAGTAATCCTTTGGCTTACAGGTCTATCCAACCATCAGTTCAAAGTAAATACTGCAGCAGAAAATCACCCAGATAGGATGGGATTAATCTGTTCAGCATGATGCCATCCCCTGATCACACTCTCTGCTTGCTCCAGGTCACTCACTACCACTAACACGGCTGGCCATTGGGGGCACCACTTGCTCCCCTCCTCCCCCCACCCCACCCCACCATGACTGAAGTTATGAAAAAACAATCTTTCCCCCTTTAGTCAACAAAGATATGGCTATAAATTTTCAAAGAGAAATTTTACTATGCAGCTTAAGGAAAACTGAACAACAGTAAAAATTTCACAATCCATAGAAATTAGTGAATTAACCAAGCACAAATTTATGATTCTAATTTTTTTAACAGCTCTGTCTGGCTATCTCTATATGTGAGAATTGATGCTTGGCAGTGACCTAAATGTGTTTCCAGAGGTAGTTTTTAAGTCTGTATCGTACCCAGATCTGATGGGCTCTCTACCCCAATCAGGATTTACTCACAGTCTTATCTCTAGGTATGCCACCTCCACAATCCCGTTTAGCCCATAGCTATATTTCTTCAAAACCATTCTAACTCATTCTCCATTTCTATGTATGGCCCCTAAAGATTCTTTCTCTAAACCAGGATTTATCAATCTTTGCACTATTGACATTTTGGGCAGGATAGCTCTTTATTGTTAAGGGCTGTCCTGTGTATCACAGAACATTTAGAAGCACGTTTAGTCTCTACCCATGAGGATACCAGGAGCATCTGTCCCTCCCCCTAATCCCCACCCTCAGTTGTGACAACCAAAATTGTCTCCAGACATTGCAATCTCTGGTTGAAAACCACTGCCCTAACTAATAGTTCGCAAAGTGTCATCCCCAGACCAGTAGCATCAATATCCCCAGAAACTTGCTAGAAATGTAAATTCTCAGCCTACCCCAGGTCTACTGAATCAGAACTTCCAGGGAAGGTCCCAGTAATCTGTGTGCTAACTAACTTTCCATGTGGTTCTGATGGAAGCTAAAGTTTGAGAACTTCTAGTCAACACTTAAGTCCATCCTTGTGGAGTTAAGGCAACTCTGTTTCTTTTCTAAGTTTCCATGGCTCTGGACCCCTAGTCCAGTCCTTCCTTCTGATCCACTCTTTTGATGCTGTGTGATTCATCTATAATCTCTTCCCTAGTCAGTTGTTAAGGCTGCTTCTGTCCTCTATTAGAAAATCTTGGCTTCTCCACCTGGCATTTTAAGCCGGTGGCACTAGGAGCCCTATGGCCTAAACGGCAAGCATCATCTTTCTCTAGAGAACAAGAACCAGAAAGAGCACCATCAACTCAACCTGCGCCAAAGCCCAGGTGTCCCTCTACATCCCTAACCAATCCCCTGCTTGTGACCAGGCTACTCCACCTTTCTATTATGGGACAAAAGCCATGATTGGCATGTCCTGGGCACCAACAAGCCTTTCCAGCTTTGGTAACCAGCTCCACCACTTCCCCAGCTGCTTGAGGATGACTCACCTCTCAGGTACTCCACAGGTAAGTGACCTTCCAGAATTTTTTCATTATATTTTTCAACTAAGATACCTTAAACATAGAGTCATCTTAGAATGTCCCAGGACAGAGTCTATGGTCAGAGTCCACATGGCAACTGACCCTTCATCACAATCCACTGCCAGAACCAATTTCCTGAATCTTATATCTCCCTTGCTCAGAAACTGCCATCAGCTAAACAGTGTTAGCAGATGAAAGTACAAACTTTTTAGTCAGGATTCATGGTTTTCCATGGAAAGTAAGGAGGCACACGGTTTAGAGTTAGATTTAACTAGGATTCAATTCCAGCTGGACCACTCAGTAGCTGCATGACCTGGGACAAGTCACTAAACCTCTCTGAGCCTCAATTTCCTGGTTGTAAAATGTAAATGATAAATCTGCATCAGAGTACTGCTGTGAGGATCACTGAAATCATGTATCTAAGCTCCTGGTTTACCACATAAAAGCAACTGTCACTAAAACTTTTTTCAATAAGCTATTTGGGGGCTTTACAACCATTAACTCATGCCTAGCATGCTCTCCAAAGCAGGCATTCCAGACCTGGGGGCTGCACTTGGTATAATAAGCAGACACATAGGTTATTCTAAAAAGCTCACCCAAGATATCTGTACTGTAGGATGTAGCACTGAGCAGGAAAGGAACCTCTTCTCCCCACACCCACACTCCCTTGTGCCGCTCACCTTCAGGGCTGTCCCAGTCCTCCCCAATCAGAGAATGTGCCTTCTAGCTCCAAGTCTGTCACTAACCAGCTATGTGAAGCTAAATGATGTCAAAAGTCTCTTTTACATCTAAAATTCTAAAAAAAGAATCCTTAAAAAAGGCATCAGGATCCAAGCTAATTGCATATCAATCATGAGTGAATATTAAGCAAGTCTGAAGAACTAAGGTAAGTCTCCAGGTGTGCTTGCACATACAAGCATCCACGTGACCATTAACGTCTCTCCCTCATTTGACTTCTCACCAACTGCTCCTTGTTTCCATGGTAACAGCCCTTCCACTCATCAAGGGCCTACTGAACATACCACTCTATCATTTCTCTCTTTGTCCTGCCCAAAGAAGTCACAGCAGAGGTAGAAGCCACAGGAAACATGATGCAAACAAGTTCAGGGTGGACACAGGCCCCTTCCCCTCCTGTATGTCCAAATGCCACACCCTCTCCCCTCCCCCACAAGGCTCCCTTGGTCCCCTCGTCCTCCCGTGTGCAAGCCTCTATGTCCCCACACTCTCACCATGTTGGAGATGCTGCGGGTGTTGGCAGGATTCAGCATGACAATCTCAGTGGTGATGTGGCCCTCCACCGCCTCAGTCATCTCGTCCACTGTGCAGTTGATGGACGGGTCATAGGTCTTGAACCAGTTGTCGGCATACCACCCAATAAGGAACCAGACATACTTCTTCCCAAAGAGACGCTCCTTATACACCTGAATGCAGAGAAGGAGGGCTGGGACTTGTTTGGGTTTTTTATCTCATCTTACTTGACACTATTCAGCCTCTTGGGAATCAGAGAAAAGCAGCAGAATTTAAAAGAGAAATGTACAAGTCTCAGGACGGGTAGGAAAGGCTCAAACAACTCCTTCTTCTAAGTTCCTCTCAGTCCATCTATTTCTGAGTGGCCTTTTCCAGCCAGTCAGGAAGGATGGGATTCATGGGCTCCTCAGGAAATGAAAAGTGATAGGAAAATGAGATCTGGAGAAAGTATCGTGCACACACACACACACACACACACACACGCACACACACGCACACAGACAAGGGATGGAGTCAGAGCCACCAGATAGGAACGCCATATTAACAATCACCTCAGATCACTTGCTATCAACTTGAGCAGAGCTGCAGAGAGGAGACCCCAGGAGAAAACCAAGGCAGAGAACCCACCCAGTCCCCACCCCCTTCAGATTCCAACTCCACCTCACAAAAAACTTTCCGGGCTTCAGTCTCATAGAAAAGTCCCACGATGATTCGGGCATCCTGGCGCTACAGAATGGAAAAAGAAACAGAGCTCCTGAAGGCCACCTGGAAACACCTGAGGGGCTAAGCCGGGGGGCTTTTGTGGCTTTGATTTCCCATCCCAAAGTGCTTAGTGCAGGGTGATGTTCAATGAGTAGTGGATAAATGTCAACTGGAAGATGGAGCTAAACTTCCCCAGGAGATGCTACTGACTCACAGGATCAAGCCTGCACCCACCTGACTCTCCTCTCCAACCAACCACTGTTCCCTCCACCCCCAGCCTGCCCGGTCCCTCTGCAGGCTGAGCCCACCACTCCCAACCATCCTACCTTAAGGTTTTTGACGGGTACAGCTGGATCTGAAAAGAAACTCTGACGGAAAGTAATCTCGATTCCAGCCTCCTTCACTCGTTCCTCTAGGTCATCCAGAGTCTTGGGTGGGAATGAGAAACAAATAGGAAAAATGTGCAGCACACGATGGAGTAAGGATCAGAGGTGCTAACTGGGGATTGCATCCTCAGAGCAAAGGAGCAGCTGTTCTGAACCATCCCTCAACATCTCCCGTCCCCAAGCTGGGGAGAGTTTAAAGCAAAGCATCTGGGCCGGCCCAGTGGCGTGCGCCACTTGGGAGCGCGGCAGCGCTCCCACCGAGGGTTCGGATCCCATGTGGAGACCGGTTCCCACTCACTGGCTGAGCGCGGTGCGGGCGCAACACCGAGGGTTGCGATCCCGTTACTGGTCAGTAAAAAAGACAAAAAGGAAAAAAAAAAAAAGCAAAGCATCTGAAATCTTAGGATATGGCTTCCAAGTGGGAAGCTGCAGGGTGAGCCCCTCCTGAGGGTCTGTGTCTGGGAAAGCCACCCCATTCACCCCTCTCCTACCAATGACTGCAGAAATGGGGGAAAGGAAAACAGAGAAAATAGGAAAAGACAAGGCAAAGTCTAGTATGATAGGATGATGTCAACCTCACGAGGCAAGTTGTCAGACAGACAAAAGGATAAGAGAAGAACGGCCTGAATCACTGAGAGAAAGTGGGGGGGGGGAGGATTTAAGGGCCACATAATATAAGAGTGGATAGAGGACCCAACGGGTAGAACAAAAGGGAGGAAGCAGACCACCTTCTTCAATGGACAGCCACATATTTCCTCTCTGCCTCCATAAATCTCCTTCTCCCCCTCCAGTCTCTCCTTGTCCATCAGCATCTCTCTCAGCATCAACTACCAGACCCATTACTTGTCTGTCTGCCTCTCTTTCCCCTCTGCCTGCCTGTCCCCTCTCTCTGCTCTCCCTCTTTCTCTCCCTTCCCCCACCTTTCTCTTTCACTTTCTCTCCTTTCCCTCTCTGCCCCCATATCCAGGAGCTCCAATCCCCTCTGTTCCCATTCACACCCACCCACCACCCCCCTGAAGCACCTCTGGAATCTGCTACCTTTCTGGGTTCCTATTTCATATCCCCACTCTTTTCTTGCCTCAACTTTGGATTGAACCTTCTTTAACAGAACTGAGTCATTTTGGTCTATCTGTCTGGGGAACAAAATATCAAAAGGGAAAAAAAAAAATCATAAAATCAAAAAGATGGAGAGGATTCCAAAAACTTAACTCATTCATTCCCCTGGCTACAGAAAGAACATGCACTTAACCCATTTGGAATGTGTTTTCTTTTGACAAAGAATCAAAATCCCGCCCCCCACCGCACCACCCCTGCCCAGAATAAATCCTGGGTCACATCTCTCTCTACAGGAGCTTAAACAGTTGCACCCTTTGCCCTATACCCAGTCTCTCCTCACCGAAGTGAAGACCTCAGTGGTCTGCTGGATGGTGGCAATCTTCTTCCAGCCCCACTTTTCAAAGAGTTTCACACGGGTAGGGTTGTGGAGTGTGGCTGATGGATGTGTTCGGAAGAACGTTGGAAAACGCTGCCGGTTTGACAGGGCTGGAGAGCTGGAGCCGTAGGAAAGCTAAGAGGAAAGGGGTTAGGTAAGTGGATCCACTAAGCGTGGCCAAGAGTTCCATTAACCCTCTCCCTACCTCGGGGTTTCTCTCCCCCACTCTCTCCAAACCTTCCCACCTATGCCCTAGGAAAAGTGATTCTCAAAGACTCACACACCCCCTCACAATCAAGATGTTCTTTCACTGATCTCACTTCAGCTCCTTCTGAAGAACGAGGTCAGCTGCAGCACTGTCAGGCCCCTGTTGCTAGGAGGCCACTAGCTCGGGTCTGCAGAGGACTCTCAATCTTGGAAGTGGGTCCTCCACTGTCCTCTTAAATACAAACCCGCAATCTCCCCCTCCCCGCCCCCGCTTTAGTACAGCCCAAAGGGGACTGACCCCCTTCTGGCTCCCAGCCCTGCTTACCACAATGAGGTTCCACATCCTCGCAGCCTCAGCCACAAGCGTGGAGACGGAGCTGCAGCCAGGCATAAGGATGATCTTGATAGGGTCGTTGTAGAGCAGCTCATACAGGTACTTGGTAGCTTGGCCTGGGTCACACTGAATGGGGGGTGGGGAATGAGGGCAGACTCTCTTAAGCACCCCCTCCCTGCAACTCTTACTCTTTTATCTTTTTTGGACAAACACATCCTTTCTCAATTACTCATGTTCATCATTGTTACCATTTTCTTCTTCCTGTCAAATTCCTTGTCTCCTCTTTCATTAAACTCCCTTCTCTGTCTTCCATCTGG